GTTGCCACGAGTTCCTCGTATTCTGCAAAGCAACTCACGATCCTGGCGACAACTCAGGAGGGCGTCAAGGGTGTGTCCGATCTTCACGCCTGTTAGGTTCAGCGGTTGTTCTGACATTTGCCAATAGCCTGAAAGAGGTGCAGGACTTTCCGGATGATTTCGACGGCGTCGTGAGTCCCTGAGCCACATTCCGCCGCATGTGTGCGTTCTCACGCTAGTCTTCGTCACAGGTTGTAGGGTCCCCCGCAAATTGGCAGACGCATGTGCAAGCATGGTCCGTTCACATGAATCTTAACACTGAGCCCACTACGTCCGGTCATTTTATGACCGCGGACATGTGGAGCAATGTCATCGCGCCGGAAGTCATGAGACAGTGCGACGAGCTGGACGGTGTATGTCAGTATGATCTTCGCGCTTCGATTCCTGCTGACAACGCGCTCGCACGATAATAGCTCAAAGATGGAATCATCAACGATCCTAGAATATGCAGGTGCGCCTACCCATTCAATACCACTCCCTACTCGCCTCACGGAGAATCCAACCAGCTTCCGACCCGAGACTCTCACCTGTCGCCCAGGCCAAAACGTGTCGACCTGTCTGCAGGAGGGTCAGATCAGCGCGCTTCACCGCATGTACGCAGACTATTACGAGGCCGACCAGACTTACGTCTTTGGGGGCTACTATCCCGGCGGCGAGACCGAGTACTATCACGGTCTCGTCGGCCAGAAGCATTTCGTCATCGGGACGAACTATTTCGGCTACATGGTGACGAAGTAAGGGTGCCTGCTCCTCTGTTCTCTGCGGTGCGCCGGCATGAGGCAAATACCCTAACTGTGTTTGACTGTAGCGATACCGGGTTCACGATCCACGATTATAAAGCGTCCGTGCTCAAGTTGGCCGATCAGATAGACCCTGGCCAAGCCAACGTAAGGCTTCGCGCGCACTCTCGCGATGTGGACTGAACCTTGCTTCTTTCAGGCGATCAACCCCAACCTCACCGCGTTCGCTGGGACAGGGCACAACGGGAAACTCATTCAATACGTCGGATGGGCTGACCAGCTCATCAGCCCAGGCAATAGCATCCACTATTACGAGACCGTACACGCGTACACGCTCGCGAACACGACCATGGACATCGACGACTACTACCGCCTGTTCCTCGTGCCCGGCATGAACCACTGGTGCGTAGCCCTCTTATACCCGCCTCTTGTACCTTATCACGTCCTCACCGGCCTGCATACGTACACACAGTCACGTAAGTTTTGCACTTAGGTTCGCCACCCATCCGAGTTGATTTTGACGGCCATTTGGATCCGCCAGGGTGGCTTTGCGGCGAACGCCTTCGGTTCCGTCGAGCAAGCTTCGAACGACAACCCACCGCTCTCCTTCGACCCGCAACACAATATCCTTGCGGCAATAGTCCGCTGGGTCGAGGAAGGCGTTGCACCCGATAATATTACCGCCGTGAACTATAAGGACAACAACGTGACTAACGGCGTTGGATTCACCCGCCCGCTGTGCAGAGTACGTGCTCCCGGTTCAGAACGGAGATTGTGGCTGACTCATTCATTGCTCACAGTATCCGTCCACCATTAAATACGGGGGCGGAGACCCCAACGACGCCGAGAGCTTCTTCTGTTCGTGAGTGGGGGTGCTCTTTCGCGAAATGGTTCGCTAGTCCTACGAAACCTCTGGAATGTAAGACTGCTACGACTCACGCAACTTGTACATAGACAGCTTTTGTTTAGACTGCGAGATTCAATGATGTATTGAACGTATAGTGGTTCAGACGCGGTGCTCCTAACACGCACTGACACGCAACTCCATGACCGCGGTCACGGCAACCATCTGAATCCATGTGTCCTTGTTGTGAGCCGTCAGACGATGTGTAATGGTTCTTCCGATCGTAACATGAAGTACGAAGTATGCGTACAATTACAGTTTGCCGGGTGTAGGTTCCGTAGTATCCGTACAGGATTTCCTTGTACACGCTGATGACATTAATGATGCTCGTCAATTGGTATGAACGGTCATGTCGGTTCGTGTCAGGATTCGTAACGTCTTCGAGCAACATCTCTCAGACTGCACTGTCATTCGGCCTCAGTCCGCTCTGTGGCTCGCCCGGTCGATCGACGTCAGGTCGCTCATTAGGGGCAATAGGCTTTTCTCTGAACTGCGAGGCATCACCGCCGGACCCGTTTCGGCTGCGCGAACCGCTGCGCCCACGACTCGCGGACGAGATCGAGCGACGAACGGCGGTCTTGACGTTGTGGACCGGATCGGGGGGCGATTCGCGGAAGTCGACGGTGTCCTGCCCAGGGTTGAATCGCCAGTACTTGATGCTGTCGCAACGTCGCAGCATCGGCCACAGTCAGCACGGAAGCGGAAGCGGAGGATTGGGCGAAGGGGACGTACTGCTTCAAGATGCTGTAGAAGGCGGACCCTAGAAGCGAGCCCAGGAACGGTCCTAGCCAGTACTGTGCGACGTGTCAGATCGCGGGTTGATGCTCGCAGCGGCGATGGAGACGTACCACCCAGTGGCTGTCGTATGGGAAGCCAGTGACGACCGCGGGTCCGAAGGAGCGCGCCGTGTTCATTCCTGCGCCAGTGTAGTACACAGCCCAACTGCGAGCACAGCTCAACAAATGTAAGGTTGATGACGGAAGGGAAGACGTACAGATGGCAGACGAACAGAGTGAGGCCGATTCCGACCTGTTGAATGAGATGAGTATTCTGTTCGGTTAATCCGACACGGCGAACGCGTGGGACGTACTGGAGCGAATGGTGTAGCGTTGTGCTTCTCTGCTGCCAACATGAGGATAGCAAGAACAAGCGCGCTGGTGATGAACATCTCGATAAAGACCCCCTGTGCGCGATTGACGTTAGGCGCGAGGAAGGTACTAAGTTGGCAAGCAACGCGTTAGTTTGGCATACATAGTCAGCCATCGTGGAGCACCCACTTTGACGCGAGTGGCCCGGGGGTCAGCGCATAGATGATGGCAGCGGCGGTGATGCCTCCGAGTAGTTGTGCGATGCAGTATAGCACAAATCGGACCGGCCCAATAACACCAGTGAGAAGGAGAGCAAGGCTGACGTCGGGGTTAAACAAGCCCCCCGTCACTCGGTAAAACAGCCATGCAGAGCTGAGCAAACTGAAGCCGAAGCACAATGAAATGTACATGTCGCGTTCGATATTGGAGACCTGGCTACTAGAGAACGCTTCGCTCTGCGAGGCTTGTACGCCGCCATAGGCCAGTAGGAGGAAGAAGGTGGTGCCGGCATATTCGAGCAGCGCAGCACAGACATCGTCTTTGATGGAAGCAAAGTAGGACTGCCTTGTTGGTGGTCCGAAGCGATAGTTGGGGTCTGCTATCGACGGGTCGGTAGTCCTGCTAGAACGGCCAAAGAGGAACATCGTGAGCAAGGGAATGGGGGTAAGTGGGGAGCAGAGAGAGCAAGACGAGGCTTTTGAGAACACCTGCGGCTGACTGGCGGGCTGACGACGGTGCGAGGGGAAACGGCGCGGATTCGATCGTCAACTACGTCACATGATCGAATACGACGCACGGAGACTATGGAGAGCTGTCAGACTGGAGCGGGAAGCACGGCGTCCGGAAGGGCAAATGCGGACAGTGTTGGTGTATTGCGGGCTGAGGATGGAGAGGAACATGCACGCAGAGCAGGCATCGCTATCTGGCAAAATTGAAACACTCCACTGGTCTAACCCTCGGGACGGGAGCAGCGACACGAGGCATCGGCGTAGAACTCGACAATCCACCTCGCGCCGCACGAGTACGTCCCTGCATACCCAGCGTCCTCGCCGTCTTCTTGTCCAGGTACTGCAGGAAGATCAACGTGGCTTGGGTAATGCGGAGCACCAGAGCATGCGAATCCGGCGTCATGCGCCTCAATCCCAATCGCCACCTCCTGAACGGCCGCGCTTGACTTGCTTGCGCTTGTCCTTTTCCAAGCGTCGCCTGGCCTTCTCTGCTTTCTGCAATGAGCGTACCCGCTCTCTTTGCTCCTCTGTAGGCTCATTCACAAGCCCGGCGGAAGCGGCGGACATCACCAGCGCGTGCAGCTGTGGCGATCGAGGGATGAGCCATTACATCACACGCGGAGCCGCCAGGGGTACACTTGCCTTGGCAAGGCACTCCTGCACATTCTGGGCTTGCGACCGATGCACGGTCGATGTGAGCAAGATTGACTGGGATGACGAAACGTACGACGGCTATGCGCGGGGCGTATAATCTATGAGCATGTCCCTTTCTGGAGGATCTAAGCAAGAGGCGCACTGTTTTCTTGAGGTAATCACGCGCCCACTCAGGTATCCAGGAAGCGTGTATTGGACATCTCAACGTTGCCTTTGTGTTGACTTTGTTGACATTCTACCAACTCAGCGAATCAGGCACGCGTGAAATAAGTATATACTCAGCATACGAACCTGTCCTCCCGGTCCAGAGCTCCGTGAATAAGTCAGTTCGACTAGACTCTTCGGAATATCCCTTGTCTTGAACTTCTCTATCCAGGCTCGTGCCTCTTCGCTCTGAGACGCATTTTGGAGGACAGGAATCGGAGGAGGAAGGGGCAATCCATCTCTTTGCGAATAACTTCTCCTCGTGATGATCCTGGCCAGTGAGATCCAGCTGCTAGTGTGTATTGACAAGGTCCTCCATCCAAGTAATTGCATCAATGAATCAAGGTGTAGTTTCTGACGAGAGAACACAAGCACTGTCCACAGATCCGAAGACGAGTTCAAGCAATTGTAGGAGTACAGAGGAAAGGTGGCTCTCCGGCGTCTGTCGTCGAGCAGGCGCTAAGTACAGTATGACTGCTCACGTTCACCGAATCGCCTGGCACATCGAGCTCTCTGTTCGCATCACATTCAACAGGAAGATTCTAAACCTTTGGCAGTATATGGCGCAGTATATGGGGCATTTATTGAGATTCTTTTTAATCCTCCAAGGCAGCGTATGCGTGTGGCAAAATGCATGCAAAAGTGAACCCTGCCCGGATCGAACGGACGACCTTGAGGAAACCCGATATCACCGTTTGAACCGGTGATTGCTGGAATCTCACGCGCTACCACTGTGCCAAGGGTTCTTGAGGAGCAAGCAGCACGTGTTTTACCAGAGCTCAAAGAGCTTGCGAGACTTGCAAGTTGTGACGTCGACGCGCGCAAGCGAGAGTCTCGGCCCCTATCCATCTCGCAGTCTCTGTCGCCGACGTTCCACACCAGTTCAAACCGCACTTCCTGGTACAGTATCAACACAACTATGGCTTCTGTAAAGGTGTCTGCGGCCAAGTCCACGCCGCTTGCACGTAACCTGCCCACCTTCATCACTTTTGACAAGCCTATACACGAACACACCGTTCACGACTTGAAGAAGGCAATCACGGCAAAGAACCCCAAGGCAAGTTGCATATATGTTATGTTCATATGGAGAAATCTCAATTCTATGGCCCTTAGTTCCACCCGTCTCGTCAGAAACTCACGCTCAAGGGGGAGAGCAAACCGCTTGCAGACAACAGTACATTGAAGGAAGCTGGTGTTGAGGATGGCTCCGAAGTGACCGTCAAGGATTTAGGCCCACAGATTGGCTGGAGAACCGTATACCTCATTGAATATGTGCGTCCTATATTGTCTTCTAAGGTCAAGACGCGACATTGACGCGTTTTGACGCGTCTTCCTTGTAGGCCGGCCCTCTCGTCATCCACCCTTTGGTATACCACTTCCCGATGCTATTTTTCGGTGGTGCTGTCCAGCACAGCGTCTTGCAGAAGTAGGTTCTCGAACCTGTATCACTGAAGCCGAAGGATGGCGGTTGAGACTGGACCTATCCCAGATACGTGTACGCCGCTGTCATGCTGCACTTCGTCAAGCGCGAGCTCGAGACCCTCTTCGTCCACCGGTTCTCTCACGGCACCATGCCATTCCGCAACGTCTTCAAGAAGTAGGCTTAATGCTGTCACCTTACCATGGGATGGGTCTTTGACGCGTCTTCTCCATTAGCTCCGGACATTACCACATCCTCTCCGGTCTCTTGCTCGCGTACTCGATCTATAGCCCGACGTACGCTGCAAATTCGCCGTACATTCGCGGCACCATCCGCGAGAACCCTAACTTCCTATGGTCCTGTCTCGCCGTCTGGCTGGTACGTTTCCCGGTCGCTGTTACGGACGCTTTCCCGTATTCTGATCGGGCCTGCACATGGAACAGTTCGCAGAGCTCTCCAACCTGAGTACCCACCTCACTCTCCGCAGCCTTCGCCCGGCAGGTACGACGAAACGTGCGATCCCGCATGGTTACGGCTTCTCGCTCGTGTCATGCCCGAACTACTTCTTCGAGACCGTGGCGTGGACTGTCATCGCTGTCATGACCGGCAGCTATGCTGGTGAGCATCTCTCTCATCCGGCTCAAGTTAACGGCGAGCGCTGACCAACGATTGGCTCCTAGCTTGGCTTTTCTTGGTCGTTGGCACGTACCAGATGGCGGTCTGGGCCATCAAGAAGCACAAGAACTACAAGAAGGAGTTCGGGAAGGAATACCCCGCAAGCAGGAAGGCCATGTTCCCTTTCGTCTTCTAAAGTGTCCTCGGCCGTACTGTGGTACACCTCGAAAACACGCGCCAAGGCGAACCTTCTGATGGGCCCTTATTGGCTATCGTTCTACTCACCACTCACAGGCCGTTCTGCCTGAACTTACACAAATTGCGCGCTAATGCCTTGACGATACCTTGCTATCAGTTTTATGTCGCTTTACGTTCGACCAATGAAACCAGTGATGCTACGGAATACTGTACGCCAACCACATCTCTTCGGCGGCTTTGTCGTCGACCCCTAGTCCCGTGCCCACCCATCCGCTAACAAGGTTTGCTACGGCAGTTTTTACCAGCCATCCTGCGATGATGATCATTGTAGTAAGGATTGGGTGGCAGTCGAGCACGACTTGCATACGGTATCAGTAAGATAACGGTGCAATTTAAACCTTTGAAAACAAAGTTCATACCTCGCAGCCCGAAGCCTGCGGCCATGCCGCCGAGAACATTCCGGACGACCCACTCTCGGTCGAGCTTGTCCTCATCGAGCAGCTCAAGGGCTCGTACCACGACCGGGTGCGTGAACGTTGTCGCGTTCGGGTGAAGATGAGGCCGTGCGTGAGTCGCCCAGTCCGACTTTGTCGCGTCCGGGCGCCAGATCGAGAGACAGAAGAGCAGGAAGAGCTTCGTGAGCGACGAGTAGAATAGCGTGAGCGGAATGTGGGAGTATCTGCACATGCGGAACGGGTGAGCATCGGCGTCTCACTGCAATTCCGCTGAGACGGAGCGCGGATATGTTTCATATCGCCATGCAGAGGAGGTCTCGCACGGTTCGATATTCTGGCGGCTGCAGATCGCTCGGTGTCCGTCAATAGGGAGAGACACACCCACCTAAACTGCTCCCGTATGCCTGACACGGGCGACCCGGGTGACGGAAGGAGCTTCAAGACGGCGTAGCAGGCGAGGACGACGCCAGCGTGAAATGCAGCTGTCTCTGCACGGCAGTAATAGATGCTGGTATTAGACATGTGCCTTAATTGACGGCGTAATCTTCCAGAGAGAACGCTTACCGAAGAAACAGCCCACGAGGATACGCACGAACCCTGCGATGGCGGCGCGATTCCATGTTGCCATCTCGGAGATGTCACCGGCGTGGCTCGAGCCTGACGGAGCCCCCCAGTCAGCTGCGAGGCGACGCAGTCCCTAGAGCATGCCAAACTCACTGATGTGTGTCCAGCGGATGACTGCGATGCACACATGAGTCCCCCGGAGCGCACGGCCTGAACGCACAGTACATCAGCCACTCACATGCATCGACGCAGATCAGGGCGCTCCCTAGCCGGGCGATGAGCCACCACCTGGACTAGGAAAGCGGAATGCTCAGCAGAGAGCGCGACCGGTCATCGCGTGAGACCCACCAGCGCGCTGTGACGGACCTGGCCGGAGGGGCGCGCAGAACTGTCCTTCTTCGCGGGCGTCTTGTCGCCCACCCTGCGGGCGCCCAGGCCGCGGTTGTAGAGAAGGTGGCGATAGACGTCCCGTTTCAGCAGAATCAGGTCCAGGAGGAGGGTGAGCGTGTCATGCTCGACATACGGGTCTGCGAACGCGTGGCAGGCGGTCTATGTAGCGGCCGAGGCGCGAAGCCAGATTAGCATCCTCGTCCGAGTAAGAAGGTGGTTCGAGCATAATACTCGAATAGGCTAAATGTAAAAGGGACACTGACGCACTGCTCCAGGCGGAAGTTGTATGCGGAGTTGTACACCGTGTACAGGTATGGTGTTGGCTGCGCGCAGCTCGTGCAGATGGGCATGGCAGAGGAGCGACGTCCGCGTTCGTTTGAGGTATGCTGAGGTCCAGTTACTGCCAGGTTGCAGGGGTTTTCCGCAGGACGAGATCAGCACAATACACTGCGGCTAGTATTTTTGCCGATCTGTAGCGCAGATGCGTGTTTTTTTACAAAGAACCAGGGACAAACGCGAGGTGGGCACGCTCCGGCGGATGTCTTGTGTCGAGGCGGTTTCCAATCTGAGGTTAGATCGGAAAGGTGTGTAGAAAGCGATCCGCCTCACTATGGCCAACACTAGAAAATCTGCTGGATGGAGCACAAGACTAGCAAAGGCTATGGCCTTGCCTATCTAGAAGAAGGGCCGCCTGGACGTGAGAGACACAAGTATCGACCCTTGATTGAAGGTGGCGGTCACGACGGTGCTGCCTGGTCTGGTGCCAGCTGCCAGTGCTTGTGGGGTCAACCTGAGATTCAGATGCCCCGCACCCACAGGCGCCCACTATCCCATTCAGCGCTACCCTACAGGCGCCCGAGACTCCGACGCCGGCAGAGAGAGCCCATCGCAGCCGTCAGCGTCCACGACGATCACGACGACTAGCTCGGTCTCGGCAACGTACACGAACAAGGCTGCAATCTTGAACATCGCGAGCGTGCTCTCTCAGTATCTAAGCGACCTTCTCCAATAGCTCCATCTCGGATTAGCCGACACAATGCCTCCTGCAAGGGCGACGTCCTCGGCTCGTGCCCTGGAGGCCATCTTGCCTCTCATTGCCTCTGGGCAGCCGTATGAAGCACACCAGAAGGCGCGGACATTCGCTTCGCGTTACAACAAGTCCAAGCAACACGATACCGCAATCGACGTGCTCTTCCAGTCCGCTAGGGAGTTGTTGAAAGTAGGGCAGCAAGGTAGCGGTACGGATCTTACGACGTTCCTGCTGGACGTGTACGAGAGCAAGGGCGAGACTGTGAACGACGAGAGCCGAGGTCAGTGCCTTCATTCTACCATCCATAGCCTAAGATCTGCGCTCTGAGCCGAACGCGCAGGACGCCTCACTCAGCTGATCGCTTTGGCGGGCCCGTCGGGCTCATGGCGCAAGACCATCATTGACAAGGCCATCGCGTAAGGGTTCCAGCTCAATCGCCTGGAAGGGCCTCGTTGACAGTGCTCAGTTGGTCCGCAAAGGTAGGACCACACCCCGCCGGCGACCCTGATCTCCACCACTATGTCGGAGAGCTTCTGTACAAAGGTACGTACGCGCGCTCGCTTCAGACTGTCCCGACGCTCATCGGATTCTTGGCATTCGAACTCGCACACAGAGGGCAACTTTGCGGCGGCGGAGCCTTACCTCCTTGCGGCGGGAAAGCGGGACAGCGCCCGTGTCCTCGCTGAGATGTTTGTCGAGTGGACTAACCCAGATGGGCCGGTAGGGCCGTTTGCGTTGCGCGGAACGATACCGTAAGCTGCGGTTCCGTTTTACGCAACGCCGCCGATTCTCACCCGTTATTGCCATAGGTACTTGCAGAACGGGAACATCCTCGCTGCACGGACATTCATCAACCATTTTGTCTCCCAGCTCACTACCCGACGCTCTTCCTTGCTATCTCCGCACCAGCCGTCGCCTATTCCGGTTGGGAAGCCTGCGGAGGGCGAACAAGACGAGATTATATTCACGACGGACTCGACGCTCAATTTTGCCCAGCTCGCCGTCCGGGCGTGTCAGAGGGCCCAAGGGGACAAGAACAAGATCATGCGGGAAGCCTGGGTACGGCTCTGCGGC